GTCTCTGATTATAGCCTCGCCTTCCTCCCTTGGCCTTGAGCACAGTAGAGGGCTTAAATTTGTTTCAAAATCAGGGTTGTTTTTTATTTTTATTTATTTATTTTTTGGAGAGGTTTCTGCTACAGGGCGCATGCGCTCACCAGAGAGACAGAGAGAGACAAAAAGACAGAAAGCAAGAAATCACCCCCCAGGGGGGATGGCCACACCACAATCCCTTCTCCTCCATTCTCCTCTTGTGATCTTGTGCGCGTACGCGCGCGCGCGCACACACACACACACAAGCCACCAGGCCTGGGACTCGAACTGCAGTAGATTACATGAGAGATCAGCAACATAGCCATTATGCTAACTGCTGGTCCCTTCAGTGTTTTTGTTTTGTTTTGTTTTTGTTTGTTTGCTACCAAATTGCAGATGACTACTTTTTGGTTATCAGGAAAGAACAAATACATGCTCTCTCTACTTTACAGATGAAGTTACTTAAAAACTAATATTCTAAGTCTTCTTAAATGGGCCCATTAGATAATTCTGAGAAGGAGCCAGCCCAAAGCATGGAAATTATGAAGGTTATATCTCACATGGTTGATCACATAATTTGAGTCCTGGACCAGGAGACCTGAGAAAGAAGCCAGGTACATGTGTGTGCATGCCCAGGATCCCGAAAGGAGGGAGAGATGGAAGAGAAAGGATTGAAGTGGGACCCTTCCCCATGGAGGGTGGGGGGTGCCTTCTTACTTTCCCTCCTCCACCCTCGAGTGCACTCACCCTCTGGCGGGTAAAAATAGGACTGAATAAGAAGGAATGACCTACAGGGAAAGAATCAACGTGATTTTCAGGACAGAATTAGGATTACTTAACTAAGGATACAAATGTTAAATAAACCCAGTCAATCAGACTTCTCTTTCTACTGTTTTTTTCTGTGGGCATTTGATTAAGGACCTTTACATAGATACAGAATTATTAAAAAAAAAAAACTTGAAAAATTAAAGAGAGAAATGAAATATATGGAAGAATTCTTTTAATTCTGATATACGTCCATACGTTAGTATAACCTGAACAATTCACCGCCACTAATAAATATACTTATTTCAGTATATGAATTTGTAACGAGCTAATAGTCAGCTAGCATGTTCACCCTGATTAAAAAGATATAGTGAATTTAGATCAGGCTCTTTATTTAATAGGCTTAAATGCACTGAGCACATTACCATTTGGAATGAGATTAAAAGTTGAAGCACATCCCATACTTTATGCTCGGACACTTAAAGACGTTGCTTTGCTTTTTCTCTAAATGTGTAAATCAAATGTGAGCTTGTGACCCGATTAAAGAGAACGCATTCTCTCAAAAATGGTTCCTACTCTTACTCTTCTCTAAGAGGTACGCTTTTTGTTTATTAAACATGAAATAAGCTGGCGATGCAGTTTCATATTCTTTAGAGGTTACGGTAGAGCACCAAATAATTCTCATATTAAAAGAAAAAAAAAAAAGAAAAAAAAGAGGGAGGCCAGCAGTTGGCACGGTGGTTAAGGTGCTAGACTCGACATGGCCAACTGTGGTTCAGGTTCCAGATCTGGCAGGTTGAAAATCACGTCGGGTGTGTGTGTGTGCATGCCCAAAATCCTGAGAGGAGAATGGAGGAGAAGAAACTGTGCCATCGTCATCCTTCCTGGGGAGTGATCTCTCACTTTCCCTCTGTCTCTCTCTCTCTCAGACAAGCACACACACTCTATAGCAAAAGAAAAGACAAAAAAATAAATATAAAAATAAAAAACCTTAAAAACAGAGAAAGAGAGGTGTAAGCCCTCCTAAGAAACACACCGTGAGATATCTAAAGGTTCTGATCCTTAATTGTGAGAATTTCAACCAATTCCTCTGGGAAGAGAACTTGTTCCTCTTTGATTAGCTTCACACTGAAGCCAAAACTTTCTTCCTTGTTAACTGTTCCAACACCTTCGTGTCCAAGTCAAAAGCCTTCAGTGGCTCAGAATAAACCCAACGTTTGTCCTGAACCTCTCACGAACTGCTCTGAACACTTCTTCCCCATGTCCAGGCTCACTCATGCTCAGAAAGCCAGGCCTTTCTTCTTTCCTAGAACCAGCCTTTCCCCTCCACCTCCACTCCTCTCCCTCTGTTTTCCTCTCTGCTGGGAATAATCTTCATTCGCTCCTCTGCCCGTTTTCCTCTCTGCTGGGAATAATCTTCATTCTTCATCTCCCTCACCAGACACGACCGCACCCGCTGCTTCCTGGCCAGCTCAAATTCCTTACTTCTTCAAGCCATTCCACTTACATCTATCCCTCCTGCTTCCGGTTGTCTGGTTCCTTTCCTTTGGCTTTCAGGGATCTCCAGGGTCCTCTCCGGCCCCTTCCCATCCTATGTCCTTCCCTGTTCCACATCTCACTCTCATCCTCCTGGCTCATGCCATTCTGTCTACACTGGCTGCTTAGCCCTTTCTGGAATGTGACCATCGAGGTCCTACCTCGAAGCATCTGGACAGGAGGATTTCATGGCTGGAAGTTTCCTGGAGATCCCCACAGCTCTCTCCCCACTTACCCCTTCAGCTCTCACTCACATGTCCCGTTCCCCATAAAGCCCACCCTGGCTAGCAGACTGACCACGGCACCCCTAATCACACACGGATTCTCAGAGCCTCTTCCTTGCGTGACTTTTTTCCTTCCAACACCCTGCATGTGGCTTTGGGTGTTTGTTATGTATCATCTCCTACAACCACAGACTAGACCCCAAGTGAGAACGGGGCTTCCCTGTGGTCACTGTGAGGCCAATGACCACCTACAACAATGCCTGGCCCACTGCGACCAACTCCATATGTATTTCCTGGACAAATGAATAAATCACGGACCATGGGGCAGCTTATCACCAACGCCATGAAGTCAACATGGGAGCTACCCACAAGTGCACTAGTTATTTCATAAGGCAGTCTTCTTTGTATTTGGAAAGAGGGAGAGAGGGAGAGAGGGACACAGAAACTTAAAACACCCATGCACACTGGGTGCATAGCGGGCATGCCCAAATCCTGAGAGAAGAATGGAGGAGAAGGGATTGCAGCATGGCCATCCCTGCTTGGGGGTGATGTCCTGTTTTCTATCTCTCTGTCTCTCTGTCAAAGTCCATGTGCCCTATAGCAAAAATATCTCTAAAAAAGGAAAGAAAGAAAGAAAGACCAACCAAATCCATAAAACCTTATATGCAAAAACAGAGGGAAGTTTGAAGGACAAAAACAAACAAACAAAAAAAACAGAAAAATACCAAGTATCAATAGTATTCACTTAGTAAGGAATAAAATATGCTGTAAGGGAATTATCTATAAATCTAAGAGAAGAAAAGTCTAGAAACAGTGAAAGAATCAATGATAAAAGAAAATCATCAATTCTAGTCCCTTTAGACCCCTCTGAAAGTGCACCCCACATTCCTGTCACATGTATTCTTCCAGGAATAAACGGCAAAGTTGTAATAAAACAGGGGAGAAATCCCACATCAGCCCTCTCCTCTCTGCAAGCCGCGTGGCCTGCACTGACGGCTCCGAGCATTTGGCAGGAGCCGCTGTACCAGAGAGCAGATGCTCCAGGCAGGCTTTTCAAGGAACATCAGGGATATGAGAACTTGGGGAGAAATTAACCAAGCCATCAGAAACAGAAGAAGAGAGATTAAGAGGTACAACGTCCCCCCTACCCCCGCTCTGTAAATACTGTGTGAGCTAGGCTAATCTCATGGTTACATTACAAAATGCTCACATCGCTTTGGAAAGACAAGTCTTTGCAAAGAAATAAAGTCTTGTTGGTTGATAAAGCCATCATGACTCTCTAACACACGGTGTTAATAGCTGATGAAAAACTGTAATTCTCTCTTCCAGGAAAGTAGGTTGGGTACATGCATTGATGTCCACTTAATAGGTGAGCTTGGTCTCAGGCTTTTTTTTTTTTCTTTTGTCTATCTTATGCATCCTTTGATGCTTTTCTTCCAAGCTTCAACCAGCCCCAGATCACAGGCACACAAATGTGTGGCACACTCAGGGAGGTCTACAGACACAAAGTGGTAACCCTCACCGAGCATGGTATTTTACCACAGCTATCAACCAGCCCCTTTTATCTGAATTTTATAAATATATTTTTTTCTTCTAGCTTTTCCTTTTGGGTGACCCTGGTCTTTATTTATTTATTTTTTTTTTAAAGGATTTTTGCTATGCAGTGTGTGTGTGTGTTTATCAGAGAAATATAGAGAAAGAGAGAGAGAGGAATCACCCTTTGGGGATGGCCATGCAGCAATCCCTTCTCCTCCATGCTCCTCCTGGGGTTTTGGCCACACAAGCACACACACTCAACATCTTTTTCAAGCTGCTGGGTTCGGGGCTTGAACCATGGTTGGCCATGTGGGAGTTCAGCACCTTAACTACCATGCCACCTGCTGGCTCTGTTACATTATCTTTGAACAGGACTGCTGATGAAACACTGTTCCTTCTCGAAGAAAGGCTGTCCATTTTCTTCCACAAAACATGTACTGAGGCTGAAAGAACATGGCTACTAAAAAGACAAATGGAACTTTGGAGAATCTGGTCTCCAATAGAACTGGGAATGAATACGCAGTTCCCACAATTAATTTTTAAAGAAATGGGCAGTAAGGCACAAAGAAATACAGGTGTGTTTTTCATTAATAAATGAAAAACTAATCACAGAGCAACAGTCCTTGAAATCAAATAGAAACTCTCATCTTAAGACAGAAAATTGAGAGTGAATTGAAAGATGGGTCCAATGTTTTGGTTGATTAAATCAATAGTGGACTCCCATAGGAAAAAAAAAAGTTCTTTTGTATCTGAAACTACTAAAAATACTGGAAAAGAATAAGGTATGAAACAGTAGTTTCCTGCAATAGTTAGAAGGATTTTTTTTTTTTCCTCTAGGCCGACAAAGATAAATCAATTCTAGATGGAAGAAACTCATCCACTGTAAAAAGACTCACAGATTGTTTATTAACAAAGGAAACTTACGGACAGCAAGGGAATGGCAACTTTTCCGAGAAAATCAGGGGGTTTATCTCCATCTTCATCAAACACTGTCACTTCCAAGACATCGTGGATATCTTTAATGGGACTGGAACAAGAAACACTACATATTATACACAAAAACACACAAGTGAAGTCTGTTCCTGAAAACACGGTTTCACTAATTAAGTCTGTATGTCCTTAGAGTATAAAACTACCATTTAATTAAATTCCAAAAATTAAATCAAACTGACTGTATTCCCAAACCTCCCATCATGGAAGAGTCAGACATCCATGTGAAGAAAAAAAAAAAAAAAAGTCAACTTTTTTACTATAACATTTTCTAGGTATATATGCACTCAATACAGCCTAGTTAAAATAACAGGACAAAGAAAGAAAAAGGGAGAAATAATGAAGTGAGTAAAAGAAAAGTAATTTCGAAAGTAGTGTTCAAATGAGAAGAGTAAAAATGACATTTTCTTTGAAGTAATTAAGGATTCCCCTTAAAAAAAAAAAAAAACTGGTAAAAAGAGGTATTTGTAACATTTTCTTTGAAGTAATTAAGGATTCCCCTTAAAAAAAAAACTGGTGAAAAGAGGTATTTGTAAGGCTGGCCGATGGAGTTCTGAAGGCACTGGACTCCCGCATGGTTGACCATGGTTTGAGTCCCAGACTCAGCAGCTTGAAACTCACACCAGGTGCATGTGCGTGTGTGCCCAAACTCCTAAGAGGAGAATAGAGGTGAAGGAATTGAAGAGTGTCCTTCCCCGCTGCGGGGGTGACTCCACTTTCTGTTTCTCCATCTCTGTCTCTTTGGCAAGCACACATGCCCTATAGCAAAAAAATCTCTCCAAAATAAATTTTAAAAATTTTAAAAGACTGACTTTTGCTGATATACACAGAAAACCTCCTTGTCATTAAAACACAATGTGCTAAAAATCCCATGCATGTTTAGAAATGTATTCTTTATACTGGCCATGAAAAATGTAGCCACAGCCCATAGTAAAATGTGTTGAGGGAACAAGAGACCCTTAATCTAGCAATGGGCAAACCCACTTGGCACAGTTAATTCACTCCTCATGGATCCTTGAGAATTTTCTATCAATAACATCAACTCTACTTAACACGAACCTTATTCTCTCATTTCGAGGCACATTCACTGAGCTCCGTGGGACAGTGAAGTATCATTTCACCCCCATGTAACAGAGGCCTTCCCCTGGAGAGTCAGGTGCTTTGGAATCTACAGCAAAGTAGGGAACTTAGATATTACCCAGCCTCCTGAATGCCTAAATTCGATTGAATGGGCAGGGCACGTCAGATAAAATGGAACTTAAGGAGCCTTTGAGAGTCTGTAAGGATTCACGGATAATCTGTATTTTTCAAAAAGACTTCGGCACGAAATAAGCCTTCAGGCATGAAAATAAAGTTAAAACATAGAAGCTCTTTGATTTTAAGGCAGGTCTCCATTTGTAACTTTCCTCAAACCAGGAACGAATTAGTCTAGATATATAGCAGCTTCCTTCTCCTCACAGATTAATTTAGTCACTAAAAGATCTACTTTACAAATGCCTCTTCTAACACTCCCTTGCAGTTCCAAATGGTCTGTTCTATTATTAACACCATACTCTATAAAACGAAAGGATAAAAGGTTTTCAGAAAGAGAGGAAAAAAAAAAAAAAGACAATAAAATTCACTCTTTGCACATAAAAATGGACAGAAAGTCCCACTCCAGAGCCCCAGCCTGTCCCACACATATCAGGGATAATTGCTCTCTAACTTAAAGCCCTCTTGTTCCCTCCCCAGTATTCCAGAGGCAAACGCACTTACAATGTAAAAACCTTGTTCCACTCGGGGTTGAGGTTTTTGTAAACGGTATGTGTCTGGAGGCGGTCATTGCCTAACTCCAGCAAGCAAAACGGATCACTCTTCCCTGGAAAAAGAACGCAAGAGTAGGGTCAAAAAACAAAAGAAGCTTGAAAGGGACCAAAGTGAACGAGATAAAAGTGAAGCAGTTATAATGAAAGTGTGTTTGCTGAAAAGAGTGAGATTTCTTTTCCAGCAAGTTCCACGGAGATCCTGAGTCCAGGGAACTGGTCCACGTTGGAATTCAGCACACTCTGGCCATTAGGACTAATGACACAACCTTGCAAGCCCGTGACCACATGTGTTTCCCTGAACTAAGGATCGGTCTGGCATGTGAAGGCCTGTCCATGGTAAAATGATTAAGGCAGCTGAATCCTTCATGGCCGACTGTCCTGTTTGAGTCCTGGACCCGGTGGCTTGAGGAACATACCAGGTGCATGTGCGTGCATAGCCGAGATCCTGAAAGGAGGGTGAAATGGAGAAGAGACTCTGGAATGACCACCCCCTATGGGGGAATACTTTCTCTCTTTCTCTCTCTCTCTCTCCAGCCAACGCACATGCCCTCTAGCAAAACTGAAAGAAAAGCAAAACAAAACAAAACAAAAACAAAAACAAATAAATAATTTGGGCAGGTAAGAGTCCATCTTGTTTTAAAATGAAGCTTCTCTCTGCTCCCTCCCTAAATTTTTTTTTAAGTTAATATGGATCATTATTCGTCTATAACAGAAGGCTCCTAACTTATAGGCTTCCACCTAGATGTGAGAGAGAGAGAAAAAGTGTACAAATAGTTATTTAAAAGTTACAACTCTAGGGCCAACACGTGGTGTGGTTAAGATGCTGGACTTCCATATTCCTGACCTCAGCTTAAGTCCTGAGTCCTGTGGCTTGAAAACCATGCCAGGCACATGTGCATGCATACCCAGAATCCCAGGGAAAGAATGGAGGACAGGGGATTGTGGCACGGCCATCTCCCCTGAGGGTGATACTTTCCCTCTCTCTCTGTCTCTACATTGTCCAGGCAAGTGTATGCGCCCTATGGCAAAAACCTAAAAAAAAGTTAAAACTCTGCTCCTGAACTAATGGTCGCAGATACACATGGATCCTGTGTATTCAGTACATTAAGAAAACACAGGAGCTACATTTTTGGTACTAAGAAATATATAAAAGCAATAGAAATTCAATGAAGTGAAGGTAGATGGTTTTCTTTGTTGGTGGTAGTGGTTTGTTTGTTTTTGTTGCTTTTACTTTTTATTTTTCAAATGTCAGAGGACACATGCACACCCCAGAGAGAGACAGAGAGAAAGAGAAAAAACACCCTCTAGTGGAGGAGGAGTATGGTCATACCAACATCCTTCTTCCATCGCTCCATCCCATGGGGACTTCAGGCTTGCAAGCCCATGCACCCAGCATGTTTTTCAAGCTGCTGGGTTCAAGATTTGAACTACATGGCTGGACATGGGGTATCTGGCTCCCTTCACCACCAGGCCACAAGGCTATCCTGGTCAGAAACTTTAATTTAAAAAATAAATAAATGAAGCTTATCCCTTACTTCTCCTACCTTATAACTTTTCTTCTTCATCCTACATCCCATATCCTCAAAAACAAAGGAAAAAAAAATCCCAAGTCCAAAGTTGAACCCAGAGCATTAACGACTCAAAACTTTTCTTTTTTGGGGGGAAGGGTTTGGCAGAGCGGTCTGGATTCAGAGCGGTCAAGGAAAAAAATGAATGGCTCCATCCTGTTCACCTGACGTGTTCATACTTCACCCGCACCTAAAGGAAGTTGGCACTGACAGAGCAGCGTGTGCTCAATTAATTAGGTGCAGAAAGACAGGTGCCATAACCAGCAGTTAGCGTAATGGCTATGTCGCTGGACTCCCATGTAGCCAACCGCATTTAGAGTCCCGGACCCGGCAGCTTAAACTCATGCCAAGTGCGTGTGCATGCCCAGGATCCTGAGAGGAGAATGGAGGAGAAGGGATTGCAGCGTGGCCATCCCCCCTGGGTGGGGGTGGGGGGTAATTTCTTGCTTTCTGTCTCTCTGTCTCTCTCTCTCTCTCTGGCAAGTGCATGTACCCTATAGCAAAAACCTC